AAAAAGTTAAACAATTCTAATCTCTTTGTCCTTTTCCTTTTCTTTTTTCCTATTCAGTTCTTTAATGCATTTTTGGGGGGGTCTTTTTGAGACAGGGTCTCCCTGTAGCCCCAGCTGTCCTGGAACTCACTATGTAGACCATGCTGGCCTTGAACTCACAGAGATCCGTCTGCCTCTGCCTCCCAAGTGCTAAGATTAAAGGTGTGCGCCACGACACTCGATGCTTATTTTTTTAAATTGTAATTTTTAGCATTTCCTTAATACAAGCCTTATAATCCAGTCAAACAGGTTAAAAATACTGTTTTGGATTTTTAGCACTCTTAATTAACATACTACTTAATTTTTTAAATGATTTTAGGAGTATATATCCTGGGGAAATATGGACAGAAGAAAATTAGAGAAATACAAGAAAGGGAGGCTGCAGAATACATTGCCCAGGCTCGACGACAGTATCATTTTGAAAGTAATCAGAGGACTTGCAATATGACAGGTAAAGCAAAGAGAAGTATCTTTGTATAAACTTGTTGGTTTGTATTAATTCACATATATCCAGAACCCAATTTATAGGAAAAGACAAAGAAAGAATGCTGAATCTAACCCATATTTCTATTAACAGAAATACATATTAAGAATTATATTAGAATCAATGTAAATACTTATTCACTTTATTTATTCATTCAGGAAATACTTACAGTGCTTACCATGTAGGAAGCAGACAGTAAACAAATTCCCTGCCCTTTTGAGTTTATATTCTGGTGAAAAGATGATACACAGCAAGTAAATAACGTTAGGTAGTGGTGGATTCTATGAGGAGAATGAAGCTTTGAGGAGTAGGTTGCCTCTTCAGAGAGTGTGATTGGGAGGTGGGACCTCTCTGATGACGCAGCATGTGTGGAGAAACCTACCACATATAGCGGAGGTCAGAACAAGCATAGATGTTAGATAAATAGCAAAAAGGCCATGGAGCTAGCGAGGAATGGATAGGTGGTAGGAAAGAGCTTCAGAGGTAGGCTTGACCCACAGGCCGTCTAGGTCACAACAGTGAGTATAAGTTTGTTAAATTTACAGTCGGGAACTGCAGGCCTGTTAAGTGTTACACAATAGTGTCTGCTCAATCACTGTTAATTAATGGTAATAACATAACTGCCCGAGCTAGAACCCTACTGGGAGCATGCCACAACAAAATCAGCCAGCTCGTTCCAAGAGAACAAGGTGGTGTTCTAACTGACGTAGACCTTGAAAAATGACTTCTCAAATCTGTGTCAAGCCTGTTATTCTTTTTACCATTTAAAAATTAATCTTTTCTCTAACATTTCTTTCAAGGATAATTTATTTAGAGAGAGTTTACAAAGCTAAGTGCTCCCTGTTCAGTTTTATAAGTAGAATTTTTCTCTAGAATTGAAAGGACATTATTGTTAGCTCATTTGCCTCACTTCACGGGTAGAAAAGCTAAGATCAAAAAGAGGAAAAGATACGTTCACAGCTGAAGTGTGAGTTTTAATATTTGAAGTAATCACACCCAGCCAAATGCCTCCGTCTTGTGAAACAGGGTAATCAGAAATACTGTATATGATACTAACTCTGATGTGGCACGGTGAGGAGCACAGGTTCTGGTCTTGTCTGGTTTCTAGTTTGACTTGTATCATCTATGTTCTTTCAACTAATCCAAATCTCAGCTCTTTCTAAAAAAATTAACATCAGAAAACCCACTTCAGAAATGGTTTGTGAAAGGCTAGCTGTGTAGCTCAGTTGATAGAGTGCTTGCCTAGCATGCACAGAGGTCTGGGTTGCTCTATCGCACAGCATAAACTGGATGTAGAAATACATTCCTAATGCCAGCACTTGGGAGGCTTAGGCAGGATTGTTGCAAGTTCAAAGATAGTCTAGTCTACATAGTGAGTTCCAGCAGGTCAGCCAAGGCAACATAGCAAGACCTTATTTAAAAAAAAAAAAAAAAAGAAGAAGAAGAAGGAAGGAAGGAAGGAAGGAAGGCAGGCAAAACAAGAATATGGTTTGTGTATTATGAGATAGTCCTTGGCGCAGGAATACTCAGCAAATGATGACTTTAAAGATTGCATGATGCTTTACATTTACATTGGCATTCAACATACAGGTGCTACTAAGGCTGTTTCAGTGAATTTTTAGAGAATATAATAGTCTGTTTCTGATTGTTACATAGATCTTCATAAAGTAGAAAAGGTCACTTTTGAGGGTTAATATCTTTCTCTGTTTGACATGAATCCTATGTCAGTTTGGTTCCCCCAAGAGGCAAATAGTGAGACGGTAAGGTGGGTGAGAGATTTCTTGGGGGAAATGCCCATGAGGAAGAACAGCGGGAGTGAGGCTAGTCAAGGAAAGCCTGTAGACCACAAGTTCCCTAGTAAAGGAGTTCCTACCTGAGCAGTCACTGGTCAGGACATTACAGACATAGTAACAGATCTGTTGGCCAACTCTACAGCTGTCAGCAGATGGTACAGCTGGCGCATGCCTATGGCCCTCACAACCCTCTGTGAACAGATAGCAGGCTATATGCTTTTAAAAAGCAGATTGTGATCACTGGGAAGTAAATACAGGTTTCAAAGAAAAAACTTGGCAAACTAACTTTCATATTTATTTATAATAAGGCTACAAATAACATGATTAAGTTCTGTCCTAGAATGCTAGTGGATGTACTAGAGGAACTCACTACTTTTGGTTATCACACTAAGAAGTTAGCTTCACCTTGAATGTTATAACAGAATGCCTCCATGTTTTGCCCTTTGTCTTTATCTTCATGAATTCACTGAACATCTAGGAGAGATGCTTATTAAATTTATACATAACATAATGCTTATAGCTGACATCACTAATGAAGTTTCAGGACATAAAATACTCTTTTTGTCTTACTTTGTGATAAATGAATTATTCTGTATGAAGAGTCAGTTGTACAAACAGAATTGTCCAGATTTGTTTGGAAGCAAGATATATGAATAAAGTTCAGAAATTCTAATTGAACATAAACTTATGAACAAAAACATGGTATGTGAACTGCATGGTTCAGATAAGATGACAGCATATGTGCAGCAGTCAGAATACAGGTCCATTTCTGCCTCTCGCATGTTTAGAAGATGCTTACAAACTACATTGTGCCATAAGGAACCAGATAAGAGTAAGAGTAGTAGCTAACACTGCATTTCCCTGAGGCAATTAGTGCTATTCTAAATGTTTTACATGTCTCAATCCTCACAGCAGTCCTATAAGGTAGATCTTGTGTTATCTTCCATTTATAGATGAGAAAACTGAGGTGCAGAGCGATTAATTTGCCCAATTTCTCACAGATTCAAGTCTGCAAGATTTTCCTGTGATTCAAATGTGGATTTAAAATGTTAGCATGACCGGGCGTGGTGGCACACGCCTTTAATCCCAGCACTTGGGAGGCAGAGGCAGGTGGATCTTTGTGAGTTAGAGGCCAGCCTGGTCTACATAGTGAGTTCCAGGACAGCTGGGGCTACAGAGAAACACTGTCTCAAAAAGACCAAAAAAACCCAAATGTTAGCATGGAGAACAGATGACTGAAAACAGGAATACTGTATTCAGCTAGATACAGGAACATATTTGTTCAATGTTAATACGGATGACTAGAGGAGAGTAGAATTATCAGAGACTCTTCAAGTCATTTTACCCCAGGGTCTTTAACCCAGTTCCCCACTCACTCCTTTTTCTGAGTGTAGCACATTGGCCTTTTTTTGTTCTTTGCAAGGTAAGCTACACTTGAATTGGCTCCAAAAATCTGAGATGTTCAGCTGTTTACTATTAAATGGCATAGTATTTTCGATAACCTGTAGGCACCCTCCTGTGTGCTTCAGATCATCTTTAGAGTCCCTACACTATGTTATTCATTGTTAGTCATGGATATTGGGGTGTTCAGGGAATAATGGCAAGAAAAACATCTTGTACACGTTTGCTACAGTCACAGTTTTGCAGTTGGTTGAATCTGCAGGTGCACAATCTGCTGGTGCAGAGGACTAACTGGATTATGTATAGAGTAGACATATATGCCAAATGCACTGAGCCAGGCTACCATCTACTTTGCTTCTGAGCTATTTCTTTAAGTAATAGTCTTAATAACACAAGGAGATTTTAAAATGCAGCTTGAAGAAACTTGCTGAAGCTACAGTATAAATTAAAATAAAATTGGGAGAACATGTACAAGACCTGCTCACGCTCAAGCCAGACAAAATCCCAGCATGAAGAGAAGGTGGGCATGAATCCCCCTAACTAAGGAGCTTTTGGCACATGACAGTTGCTGGGAGAAGTTGGTTTTCCTTAAGGATGTGGCCCCTGTTAGGCTGCCCACACTCCTGGGCTGATTCCACACTCAGAAGTATTTGGGCAACACAAACTGGTCTTGATGGGGGCAATAAAAAGAAGGAAAACATGAAGGAATAGGGACATAGGGGTAGATCTGGGAGAGTTGGGGGAAAGGGAAATATAATCAAAACACAGAGCTTGTATGAAGCTCTCAAAGAATTAATAAAAATAAAATATTGAGTAGATTAAATCCTGTTTTTTCTATGTAAGTATAGATTTTCTTGCCTCATTAAAAAAAGTCATACTAAAGTTCTACCTTTTAGGAGGCGGCATTTATGATCTTTTGGTATTTTTATTTTTATCATTATTTAGTGCTGGAAACTCCTCTTAATTTCTGTATGTGCATTTCTCTGGCATTCCCTATGCCATCTGTAAGACACAGAGCACGTCCTATGACTTCTGTGGAGACTTTCAGAGTTCTCTATCTCATTTGATCTTCATATCATTCCTGGGAGTGACAGACACATGGTAGCTATTAGCAAAGCCCGAACTCAGGAGCACTTAGTGCTTAGATGAATGTACTTCTGTGTGGATTGTAATAAATATGCAACCCTTTGTAGTATTTAATAACATTTTTCTATAATTAGAAATTAAATATGAAGTAAAACGTGTAAGTTAGTATAAAATATTGGCTTTGATCATTTTCATTACCTTGGAAATAAACTTACATTAAAAATTTGGAGAGTATAGAAAAGAAGGAAAAAGAGCCATCCATAATCCATAGTCCAGAGACCACCACTATGTAGCTGGGAATAAGTCTTTCATTCTTTCTTCTGCATGTACTTGTTTACAATGCTGTGATCATGGTATATGCATAATTTTATTGTGATAACATAAGCAAATAAGTGATTTATTAGCGCATAATGACATATAATTAATAATAGTAATTGGAATTCTCTGGCTGGCCATTTCCTCCTGTCTTGCTAGCTGCTAGTATTATCATAGAGCTGGAGTCCATATGCATAGCTGGCTATGGTCATATCATTCATACCTTCTTTCTTTCCTGTTTATGTTATAGTGCTGTCCATGCTTCCAACACTGAGAGAGGCCTTAATGCAGCAGCTCAATTCTGAGAGTCTAACAGCTTTGTTAAAAAATAGGTAAGTGTAAGCTACAATATTTTTTATTCATGGAATGTG